AGGAAGCTGTGGTACATATACACCATGGAATATTACTCAGCCATTAAAAAGAATTCATTTGAATCAGTTCTAATGAGATGGATGAAACTGGAGCCCATTATACAGAGTGAAGTAAGCCAGAAAGATAAAGACCAATACAGTATACTAACGATATATATGGAATTTAGAAAGATGGTAATGATAACCCTATATGCAAAACAGAAAAAAAGACACAGATGTACAGAATAGAATTTTGGACTCTGTGGGAGAAGGCAAGGGTGGGATGTTCTGAGAGAATAGAATTGAAACAAGTATACTAACAAGGGTGAAACAGATCACCAGCCCAGGTTGGATGCATGAGACAAGTGCTCAGGGCTGGCGCACTGGGAAGAGCCAGAGGGATGGGATGGGGAGGGAGGCGGGAGGGGGGATCGGGATGGGGAAGACATGTAAATCCATGCCTGATTCATGTCAATGTATGACAAAAACCACTACAATATTGCTAAGTAATTAGACTCCAACTAATAAAATAAATAAATAAAAAAACTCCCCCCCCCCCCAAAAAAAAAGAAGGGTTGTGAAGGCTTAAATAAAATCAAGCTTGCAAAGCTCTTAGCACTCATTAGCTAGTCTTTAAACTCTTGAGTTTAGACAATTTATAGCTTGAGGCCATGGAAATGAGACTAACTTTAGAGACCAGTATTGAGTAGCAAGGGCTGTGAGCAGGAAGAGCAGAGGACAATCCAGGAGGATTTCCTGTAAGAATGAGGTGTGTGTGGAGCACATGTGAAGGATGGGAAGGCAAATGGGACAACTTAAGGGGTCTTGGAGGTGGGAATCAGATGGGTGTGCTTTTCGGACAGAGGAGTTCAGACTGCCCAGCGGGTAGGAAGAGCTACCCAGTGGTCCAGGAGATGGGGGATTGTTGTGCCAACTCTGGGAGGTCCAGTGAGAATCTCACAGGGCAGACACAGCCTGTGTGGGCAAGAGCCTCACAGTCCTGGAAACTGCTCATGGGCTCTGATTAAAACTTGGGTGCACAGGGAAGCTGATATGTTCTGCCTTTTTATCAAATCCCAATTATACTTCTTGGGGCTGCTTAGTGGGTGGGTGTCATCCCCATGTCTCAGTTCTGCTTTACCAAGTCATGAGTCCTATCCCCGCCCTCTCTTCCCTGGTCAGAAACACAACCACAATAATTTTTCAGCCATGAAAAGCAGAGACATTTCTTTGTCAACAAAGGTCCGTCTAATCAAGGCTATGGTTTTTCCAGTGGTCGTGTATGGATGTGAGAGTTGGACTATAAAGAAAGCTGAGCAGAAGAATTGATGCTTTTGAACTGTGGTGTTGGAGAAGACTCTTGAGAGACCCTGGGACTGCAAGGAGATCCAACCAGTCCATCCTAAAGGAGATCAGTCTTGGGTGTTCATTGGAAGGACTATGCTGAAGCTGAAACTCCAGTACTCTGGCCACCTGATGTGCAGAGCTGACTCATTGGAAAAGACCCTGATGCTGGGAAAGATTGAAGGCAGGAGGAGAAGGGGACGACAGAGGATGAGATGGTTGGATGGCATCATGGACTCAATGCACATGAGTTTGGGTAAGCTCCGGGAGTTGGTGATGGACAGGAAGGCCTGGAGTGCTACCGTCCATGGGGTCACAAAGAGTTGGACGCGACTGAGCGACTGAACTAAATACTAGTGAGGGAGCATTCTCCGTCCCCCTTCTGATGTCTGTGTCAGAAGCTTTCTCTATCTCTCTTATACTTTAATAAAACTTTATTACAAAAAAGCTCTGAGCGATCAAGCCTCGTCTCTGGCCACGGATTGAATTCTTCTCCTCTGTAGGCCAAGAATCCTGGCATCTCTCGTGGTTCAGCAACAACCTTTCACACTGGTCAACATATATTCCTTATATTATTGCAAAATTTGTTTACCATGTCTATAAATTAGACGTGATAATAGGCAGCTAAAGCCCTGAAACTTTGGTGTTCATTAGAAACTTTTTTTGATCATTCTAGGTGTTTTTTGTTTTTTTCTTTCCAAATGGACATGGTGCTTTTTTTAGGGGAAGGCTGCACTATCACGACTGTCTTCTATGTTAATTGTTCTTTAATCTCCTCTCTGTTACCTTTTTGGCAATCAACGTTCTCTTAGTAAAAAAAAAAAAAAATCTAATTTCATTAGGTTCTCAAATACATTTGGATATTGTTGATCTCAGTGTTCTTCTCTTATTTTAAATTTTCTTTGTTCCCCAGTATCATTTTTATTGATAAGCTGGCAAATTATTTATCCACTTTATTGTTATTTTTAGCTTTGGAGAATTCTGCTGCTGCTGCTAAGTTGCTTCAGTCATGTCCAACCCTGTGCAACCCCATAGATGGCAGCCCACCAGTTTCCCCCATCACTGGGATTCCCCAGGCAAGAGTACTGGGGTGGGTTGCCATTTCCTTCTCTTTGGAGAATGAGTTCTTTCATTTATTATTTCTGTCATTTATGGGGTTTTCAACTTCAATTAAAAATAATTGCTACTCTCTTCTCCTTTCTTTAATATTATTTTCTGACGCCTTGAAATGTATAATTACTTAATTTATAATTATTTCCTACTTATTAACTCAAGTATTTATAAAGTTATAAAATTTTATTTGAACACCACTTATAGTTTGTAATGTAATGATTTGTAAAATATTATTTTATATGTATTTGTCAATTTAGTTTTAATCAACCAAAGGGTTGTTTAAATGAGAATTTCAGTTTTAAGTGGTAGAGTTTTAGGTGTTTTTAACTTCAAGCTTTAAAGTTAAATTCTAGATATTATTTCTGATTTTTGGAGTCCATTGTATTTTTGTAATTCTTCCAGGGACATATAAAAAGGACATAGGAAAGAATAAAGAAAAAAAAAGAAAATAAGAAGAAAGGGAGGGAAAGAGGAAGGAAAGAAAGAGAGAAAGAAAAGGAAGGCACAAAGAAAGATATTTGTTTGATTTCAAGTTACTTTGAAGGGGAAAATCAGTTCTTCCAATAAATCAGACTGTGATGTGTCTAACACAGTATTAAATAACCACAAAAAACCAACTGTTTCTTGTTGGTCTACAAGGAAACTTCCCCCAGTCTACAAGGAAACTGTAAAAAGACTAAGAAATCTCTAAGTATCTGCTACTTTCTCACTATAACTTTTCCTACTTTATTCTTTGCACCTCTTGAGCAATGATTACTGAGATGCCCAGTTGCTGTTCTTCTTTTTGCCAGTAACTAAATCTAGAGAGAGTACCTGCTCCCTTAATTCATACTTGGATTCATTCAGCAAAGCATGTATTCTACAAAAAGCCCATTCCCACTTATTGAGATGTCTACAGCTTCTGTAGAGTGAGCTACAAAAGCAAAATAAACCTAAATTTTGATTTTAGGTGTGTTTGATTGGTAGGATTCCACAATATAGAGTTTCCGTATATATTTACTCTCATTAATGATATCAAATAGTTTTTCTGTAACTTTATTTAAATTTTTTTTTCTCAACTTGATCTTTCATGAACTGGGAGAGGTAAGTTTAACATTTACTATTACAGTACCATTGTGCATTTTTCATCCACGCATTTTGTGATCTTTCACTTTGTATATATTAAGGTGATATTATTTAATATACAGATTTTTTCATGAATATATCTACACAATCAAAGTTCTCTATGCAAGGTATTTAAAGATATTACATCAAAGAATGTTTGTATAAGGAGACTTATCAAAATAGTAGAACTAGAATTGCCTCTGTCTTCAGAGATGATTCAGGGTGGTAAATATAAACATCTTTCCTTTCTTTTCTGCAGAGGTTTGTTTACAGTTCAGGTGAAGATAAGGTTTCTCTCTGCAAAGCAAATATGAGCAGCTCACCAGCAACCTTAAGCAATATCAGAGTTTCATGATTTTAGGCTTTCTCTCCGAGAGTGCAGAAAAACGCACACTGTTGCATGGGCTGGTGTCACCTGGTTTCTTTTGATTCTGTTTGTGTAACAACTGGATCCATATCTCTATGCTTCTATGCTCATCATTCAGTCCACCATCTGGAACTGCTGGAAATGTTGAAGAAGGCAATGAACTCCTCTCAATTACAACATCCCATGGTTTAACTGACTAATGAGATTGAAAGAAGTATAATAAGTGATCTCAGTCTTTTTTTTTTAAAACATGCTTGTCAACAGGATGGGTGTGTGATTAATTCTTTTTTTTCCCCCTCAAGTTCAAGCTCAGGTATAACTTCTGTTCAACCTCAACTCCTCCAACCTCAAGGCCTCGCTTTTGGGTAAATGAGTCTATTCTGTAGCACAAAATTATGCATTGCATGTTATACATGTGCAAGATGGTATTGCTGGAGATTCATGTTATATTTAAAATACAATCTTACCCAAATGAACTGATATGATCTGCATTTGCCTGACTCCTGTGTCAGTTTCCTAGTTGGTTAGAGAACATATACAGAAAGGAGGGGTACTGCTCCGTAATGTCTGCATATGCATGCAGATTCACGGAAGTGGATTTTTTTCCCCTTTCCTTTCTGCATGTTTCCTCCACAAATGGCACTTTCAATTATTCTTTATAAAATTAAAATAGCTTAGTTATAGACTCGCAGCGAGAGTAATAGTATCAGACACCAAAAAAGATTTTTGTCCTGAGACTTTTTATATTATACATATAGAGGGTATTTAAAAAATTTTATACACTTTATTTTCTTGTTCTTTTTTAAGGACAGGTGCTTGAAAAAAGGGCTCATCAAAAGGTTCAAAAGGAGTATCAAAGACCTTTTCAGCCACTTTCTTTTTGAGAAACACATGAATTAGAAAATTATTTAATCACTTAAGATGTTTTCATTAAATTTCAGATGTATTGATATAATTAAAGAATGCCTTTGAAACTCACAGGCTTCCCTGATAGCTCAGCTGGTAAAGAATCCACCTGCAATGCAGAAGACCTTGGTTCAATTCCTGGGTTGGGAAGATCCGATGGAGAAGGGACAGACTACCTACTCCAATATTCTTGGGCTTCCCTGGTGGTCTCAGACGATAAAGAAACCATCTGCAATGTGGGAGACCTGGGTTCGATCCCTGGGTTGGGAAGATCCCCTGGAGGAAGGAATGGCTACCCACTCGAGTATTCTAGCCTGGAGAATTCTGTGGACTGTATCGTCCATGGGATCACAAAGAGTAAGCATGACTGAGTGACTTTCACTTCACTTGGAACTCACAAATATTTGCCACACCTTCTGCTGTTGAGAAATAAGAGACAATTGCTCCTTGCTTGTTGAATCATATTGAGTTAGTAATTGATGTTCAGTCTAGAAACGCTTCTTTCCAACCCCTTTAAGGGCTTCTCTTACATCTTGGTTTCTTAGACTGTAGATGAGAGGGTTTAACATGGGAATCACAATCCCATAAAAAATGGAAGCCATTTTTTCTTGCTCTTGAGACTCTATGGTGCGATGGTGCAGGTACATGTAAGAGAGCGTCCCATAGAAGATGGTGACAGCTGTCAGGTGGGAGGCGCACGTGGAGAAGGCTTTCTTCCTCCCTGCAGCAGAAGAGATCTTCAGGATGGCAGACAAGATAAACATGTAGGAAAAGATGATGACCAGTACAGTGAATGTCAAGTTAAAACCCACAAAGGCTGCTAGTACCATGATGCTGAAGTAAATATCGGAGCATGAGAGGGCCAGAATTGGGGGTTCATCACAGAAAAAGTGGTTAATTTTATTGGACTTGCAAAACTTCAGTGAGAAAGTAAAACTTACATTGACAGAAGCATTCAGGAAGCCCATGAAGTATGAACCAGTTAAGAGTTGACTGCAGACTCTCTGTGACATGACAGCTCCATAGCAAAGTGGGTTACAGATGGCCACATAACGGTCCACTGCCATAGCTGCCAGGATGTAGCAATCACTTGTTACAAAGGTACCATAGACTAGTAATTGCACCATACATCCGAAGAATGAGATGGAATTTTTGGTGCTCATCAAATTATGCAACATCTTGGGAGTGATAGCAGTGGCATAACAGAGATCAACAAAAGCCAAGTTTTGGAGGAAAAAGTACATGGGGGTGTGAAGGGAAGAGTCAGTCTTGATGAGGAGGATCATGCCTATGTTACCCACTAGCGTGGCCACATAGATCACTAGAAATACTGTGAAAAAGACATGCCAAGACTTATGTTGATCAGCGAATCCCAGGAGAATGAATTCAGTTACTTCAGTACCATTGTTTTGTCCCATGGCTTGTAATGACGAAATAATGGCTGAAAAGTTGCAAAGAAAGAGCAGAGAAAGCTGACTATTGTGATTCTTAAATTCTAGAACTGGAAATAGTACAATATATAACTTCACAGTAGGGTCAGAGAATAATTTCCATGACATAATTGACTTAGATGTTTAAAGGTTGAACCTTGATATTCGACTGGGATATTTTAGTTTGGGGATGTTGTTGTGGACCAAACAGCATCTGTATTCTCAGAGTGCAGTGATGGGTATTTCATATCAATCCAGGAACAAATGAGATATACATAAAGAAATACTCTAATTATTCTTTCTTTTATGCTCCCTATACTTTAATTGGGCTTTCCAGCTTGCTCAGTGGGTAAAGAATCCGCCTGCAATGCAGGAGACACAGGAGACATGGGTTCAACTCCCATGGAGGAGGGCATAGCAACCCACTCCAGTATTGTCTAGAGAATGCCATGGACAGAGGAGCTTGGTGGGACAGTCCATGGGTCACAAAGATTCAGATGTGACTAAAGCAACTGAACATGCAAGCACACATGCATACTTTAATTAGAAATTATAATTTGTTTCATTACTAATCATTGTATTTTTGTATTTGAAATCTTCACATATTCATAGAATTCTATAAGATCTAGTTTACAGTCATCTTCACATTTTTTCACTTTATCCTTTTCCTTTCCTTAGCAGCTCCTCTCTATGATGGTCTCAGTGAAATTGTAGAGTTTCTTATGGAAGTGTTTATTACAGTATTTATGGCTGGTAAAGGATTTATTTATTTATAAAATTTCCAATCTGTTGTGATCCTTTACTTTTGTAAAAAACGAGACATTCTCAGCATTGTGAACATTTTGTGATAGTTTAAGTGCCCGATCTCACTTTCCGTAGTTGCCCCATCACAGACTAGAAACAGAGAATCCAAGGGCGGGTGCTGGTCCGCGGACCACACAGAGAGTAGCGCTGCTCCGTGGTGTCCATCCGCCCCTGTGTGCTTTCCTGGTGATGGACAGCAGACTGCCTACAATGTGTCTCCACTCCAAATAACCCAGGGTGAAATTTCTGTAGGATGTATTCCTAGAGAAAAATTTTTTCATCTGGAACTGGAGGTATACTCGTATTTAACTTGGTCAAGGTTTTTCAGATCACTTTCCATAATCGATGTCCCAGTGTACAGTCATACTATTCATGCATGGGGATTCCCATGTCCTTATTTCCTAGTGAAAATTTGTTATTTTTCCTAATGTTTTTCTGCCAGGAAAATAGGTACAAAGTGTTGACTCATTTTTATTCATTTGTCCCTTTTAATTACAAAAATGTGATTTTTGTCTATTATTCTTCTTAGACTTTGGGAGTTCTATTGTTTTGTAAATTGCCTATTTATATTATTGATAAATACTTCTATTGATTGATTTTATGTGTTTTTTGTTTATCTAATATTTGAATATCTCATCAGTTTTTGTCTGAAAATTTTTCTCACATTCTATCATCTATTAATTTTGCTTATGGTATCCTTTAGAAAACAGAAATTCTTAAATTTAAAATAACAAGTCTTCATTTATTTGCCTTATGCTTGTTCATTTGAAAAGTAAACTTAATTTCCCGGTTCATTTCCCCAGGATAGTAAAATGCAATAATAGAACTTTTTTCATTTTAGGTTGCTGGCATATGGTGTTTGTGGCACTGCACATTTTATATCATATATATAATTTGATAAATATTATTAGTGTTTTCTCAATATTTATTTTTTAAAAAGGAAGCAGGCAGACAGGATAGAGTAATAGTAGTCACTGTGTGTCTCACTCTGTGTGTATGCGCAAAATATTTAAATATTTTAAAACCATTATGTGATTTGACTTTTATTAAGTTTATAGATAATAGACCCAAGTATGTTATAGGAAACTTCTACCAAACATTTTTGAAATGATTAATTCTAATATTTACTCACGTAAATTTGTTTGAAACATATACAAATGTCAAAGAATTAGTATCCAGTGTAAGTAATTTCTATAAATTGCCCCATGGGAAAAATTAACAAATGATATAATCAGGACAATTGTACAAGGGAAACTTATATGCCAATAGGAAAATATCACATATAACAACTCAGCAGTAATCAGATATATGTATATTAGTACTTCCTTGAAATAGAATTTTACACTTCTCAGTCTAAAATGCAAAGTTTAGGTGAGAATGTAGACTCACATATTTCTGATGTGAAGGTAAATTAGGATAGTCACATTGGAGACAAGTTTGGAAATATTAATGAAATTAAACACATACTTCCCTTTGGTCCAGAATTTCCATTGTAAGTACATACTCTACACCAAATATGTAACTGAGCCTCCAATGAAAATAACGATGGCTAGGCAGCTTGCAGCAGTTGAGTACATAGATCTGTATATGATCAATGATTGTAATAGTGTCACTCTAGCTATGGGAAGGTGCAAAAAGAGTGAATGTTTTCCTGGACCATAGAAGACAGGTGTCCAGAGAAGTTTAATTATAAGACTGAGTACAATAATAGCACACCGAGTGGTCTATCAGCAAAACCTTCTCTAGAACTGGGAAAGAGCCTAGCAATGTGGGATGGAATGGTCATGAAACGCCTCCCAGAGTACTGCTGAGTTTATGACCACTTGGGGAACCTGTCAACTACAAACTGGCACAAATGCCAAGGGCATTTGCCAGCGACTGGACAACAATGCCAAGGGCATTTGCCAGTGACTGGACAACAATGCCAAGGGCATTTGCCAGTGACTGGACAACAATGCCAAGGGCATTTGCCAGTGACTGGACAACAATGCCAAGGGCATTTGCCGTCTGCCTCCGCAATTTCTGCAGATTGAATCCTGTGCAACTGTTGACTTTTGACATGCCCTGAAGGGAGTTCAGGGTGGAGATTCAGGCACTTTGTGCTCCAGGAAAACTGGTACAACAAGTCTTTAGGGAGATAGATATTTTTAGGACCTGATTTCACGATCTGAATCCTTGCATCTCCTCATATGTAGGAAAGCACTAAATCCCTTTGTGATGACATCAGCTCCTCACGACAAGCAGAAAACCTCTTGACTGCACTGAACTCCTCCTTCACCAAAATCATATACTTTGAGCTTCCCCCACTACCTCCTCGGAGCAGTCTCTCAAACTATCTAAGGTGCTGTCTCCAGCACTGCAGTCCTTATTTTGCCTCAAATAAAACTTAACTCACACACACACAAAGTACATATTCTAGATAAATTAATGACCACATAAACAAAGATATATAGGCACACTAGACCTGTAAATATGTGTACATATGAATGCATACACAGAAGAATGTTCATAGCAGCATTCTTGAACACAGGAAAAATATAACTCTTATTAATATTATAAAAAATAATATTAATAAACCAGTGAGAATTCAGTAAACTGGTGCTGTAACATTTAAGTAGATATATTTCTGAAGTGGAATACTGGGTAATAAAAAGCAAGTTGCTGAAGTTAGATGGTGACTACATGAATGATTCACTTGAAAAGACCCTGATGCTGGGAAAGATTGAAGGCAGGAGGAGAAGGGGACGACAGAGGATGAGATGGGTGGGTGGTATCACCGACTCAATGGATATGAGTTTGAGTAAACTCTGGGAGTTGGTGATGGACAGGGAGGGCTGGCGTGCTGCAGTCCATGGGGTCACAAAGAGTTGGACATGACTGAGCAACTGAACTGGACTGAACTGACATGAATGCTTGTTATATTATTTTAAATACATTTTTATGCACCTTCAATATTGTGCAATGACAGAAGTTCCTCACAAAAACCCCACATCCCCATACATCAGAAGAGGGCTCCTTCCCTGGAGTCAGTAACTCCAGGCAGAGCTGTGGCTCCACGGATGCGATGGTCATTTTGGGGTAAGAAGGGGCCTTTAGTGGTGTGGATGGAGTGTAGCAAACCAAACCCCGTGACTGATGTCGACAATCTGGCTCTTTCAAACATCTTGAGAAATGAATAGAGTGGGATAACTCTATAGTGAAGGAACAAGAAACAATTCTCTCCTTTCAACACTGAGTGTGAGCTAAGGGCCAATAAATATGTGAGTTGCTTCCTCAGCTAAATTTACTGTGAAATAAATTAAATGCAGCACTGTCAAGGAGGCTTCCATCCAGTAGGTGAACGCACTTTTCAGAGGAAGCTAACACTGATCATAAGTCCACTTAACTAGAATCTCAATGAGATGATGACATTTGCTGTGTTGATCATTTTGAATTTAAATAAAATGTATGCCATGACACTTTTCAAGTCATTTAAAAATCAGTACAAAGGCAGACACACACACACATACACACAAGAACCTAAATTTTTGAACATGCTTAACCTATTCTGAAACCTGCTGTTTTTGCAGCTTCATTTGTATTCAGGACTATGCAGTAGAAAGGACCTGAGTTTGAACTCCAGTCCTACAATTTCACAGAGATAAATGATATAACTCTACCCCCCAACCTCAGTTTTACCTTATATAAAATTGGGATCACAGAATTACTTATAAGGTATGAGGCTCATTCTGACACCACGTACAGCAGCAAATGTTTGGAAACAGAGTTAAATAAATCAGAATAGATTCATACTATGAATCATGGGTTTCCCTTGTGGCTCAGACAGTAAAGGATCTGTCTGCAATGCAGGAGACCCAGGTTCAGTCCTTGGGTTGGGAAGATCTCCTGGAGAAGGGCAGGACAACCCACTCCTGTATTCTTGCCTAGAGAATTGCATGAACAAGGAGCCAGGCAGGCTACAGTCCATAGGGTCACAAAGAGTCGGACACAACTGAACAACTAACACTTTCACTTTTTCTTTCATGAATCAATATATAGTCCAAGAAGCATGAGATAAATATATACTCTTATGGAAAGGTGCTCATATCAGATTGCCAAATGAACAAGCCAAGTTGCACAATAGTATGTAAATCTGGACTATCTTAAAATAATACTTTTTTGTTTTGAACTCACCCTCCTTTAGCTAATTTTCTTTGTTTATCCATGAAAAAGCTCTGGAAGGATTCATGTCAAACTTTCAATTGCTATCATCAGGCATGGGAGTAGATAGAGGAGGTCTTTAAATGTTAGCACTTTTTCATTTTAAAATAACTTTGTTTTACATAATGAATGTGACTTAAAGTGATGTGATTTATACAAACTCTCCAGCACAGGGCCAGCCATTGAATGGGCACTCAAAACTGGTCATAACACATGCAAATAACACACTAAAATCAGGTACTACTGACCACTAATCATTCATTAAATCTTTTAGTCAGTTGTTCATTCATATCCTCAGACAACACTCAGCCCAGTTCAAAGTTCCCTTACTCCATTTCCACTGTGTCATCAGGGATGAAGCCTTTATTCTTGGTCTCAGGATGAAACTTACTAGAACTTTGGCTCTGACCCTTTTGTTTGACCATTTCCAGCACACACTGGGATGATACATGACTGTTTGAAAAGTGGGCTGTGCTCTGGTCTACTTACATGAGAGTTTCATCCAGGTTCTTGTTCTGCAACTGGTGCCGGCTGACTGCCCACCAAGGTCTATGTGTGCCTCCTTCTAACTGGGGAGTTTAAAGCCGGTGCCTAAGGGATCAATACTTGCTCCCTTGAGAACCTGAGCTTCCAGGGGCTGTAATGGAATCAGAATAAACAATATTCAGTAGTTATTTTTGCTGAAGAACACTTAAGCTTTCTCTAGAGAAGATACGTTTAATCATGTTACTGTCACTGGGGACTTCTCTTTGTGTGCTGTCTTGTTACAGAACAACTCCTTTAAAATTTTTTTGTTATGAGTCATGCTGAACAATTTTTATTATGCCTAAGAGTATGCGTTCACTTCTAAAAAACTGGCCTCATCATCAAAATCAGAAAAAAAAATAGAGCTATCTGGAAAAAAGAAAATCCAAACTGATATAAATTTATAATCAGACAGAGTTACTACTATTTGAATACATTTTTTTGTATTACCACTTTGACCATTTTTTTTTAATTTGAAGGAAAAACTGACTCTGATCCGTTTCTTTCTAATAATGTTTATATTTTAAAATAAGCCCTGGATAAAGACCCTCTTTCTTTCTTTTTTTTTTTTTTAAACTAACCGTTCTAATTTTATTTACTTAGATCCAATCAGATTCCTAAGCAGGGCTGTGTTACAATTTGTGTGCTCCCATGTTTGGGAGCATTTAGGGGAATGCTTGTTAATAAGTTTATTATAGTCTTAAGTAGGAATAGTCTCATATAAACCAAAATATCTATTTGTTTGTTACAGTGAGTTAAAAGGTTTTCATTCAAACTAGACTTTTGTGACCTAATAATTATTCCCTACTGTCACTTGCCAATTAAACTAGTAAGCAAAAGAAAAATAATAGATGTTTGGGATAATTAAATGTACTTTTTTTTAGACATTTGATTTTTTTGTTAATCTATATGACATTCTAATTTTATGTTTATTAATTTTCTCTTTATAGCCTTTGTTCTTATATGTCTCTAAGACTATTCGTGTATGTTGTTCAATTGCTCAGTTGTATCTGACTCCTTGTGACCCCATAGACTACAGCATGCCAGGCTTCCCTGTCCATCACCAACTCCCGGAGCTTACTCAAACTCATGTCCATTGAATTGGTGATGCCATCCAACCATTTCATCCTCTGTTGTCCCTTTCTCATCCTGCCTTCAATCTTTCCCAGCATCAGGGTCTTTTCCAATGAGTCAGTTCTTCACATCAGGTGGCCAAAATATTGGAGTTTCAGCTTTAGCATCAGTCCTTCCAATGAATATTCAGGATTGATTTCTTTTAGGATTGACTGGTTGGATCTCCCTGCAGTCCAAGGGACTCTCAAGAGTCTTCTCCAATACCACAGTTTGAAAGCATATGTTCTTCAGTGCTCAGCGTTGTTTATGGTCCAAATCTCACATCCATACATGACTACTGGAAAAACCATAACTCTGACTAGATGGATCTTTGTTGGCAAAGTAATGTCTCTGCTTTTTAATATGCTGTCTAGAGTTTTTATAACTTTTCTTTCAAGGACACCATCTGCATTGTAAAGACCCTCTTTCTTTCGGTTACAGTTTGCACCATCAGAATGTTTCAGTTAACAGTCTGTGGAATAAGAGATTTTGAGTAGTCCTTGGCTATGAGGCTGCTAGGGTTAAATCTTTAATCAGTGAAAGGAGAAAGCTAGATTCAATCAGTCTGTAACTTCTTGTTGAAGGAAAGTGATTGGCAAAGGCTGGTGAACTGACTTTCAATATTCCTTATGGCATGAGCAGTGTCTCAGGAGTGTGTTCCATTTTGAATAGATCAAAATCCAACTTATTTTTGGCTGTTACTTTTGCAAAAAAGACTCATTTTTCCTTCATAGTAATCATTTTGGAGTTAAGGTTCACATTTTGTGATTTTCCTAGTCCCTTCCACATGCTGGTTGCCTCACAGTCTAACCTGTCTGCTCTAGTGCTAGACACTACACTTCTTTGCAAATCAGGAAAAAGCATCCCAGAGGGAAGGGTGACAACCGCATACACACGCGTGATCAGGAAGACAGAGCTGTGCCCAGGCCCAGCAGACTTCTGCCTGCCTCTCTCGGAGCTCTGGCTCTGTGGACTGTGCTGCACGCCTCAGTGACTCGACTTCAGCGCTCCTGTGCTCACCGGCTCCACCGGTGTTACTGTGGCAGGTTCCCGGCGGCGTGGCTCTGCTTCTCTGCCTCGGGAACATCTCGTATCCTGTGGAAGATCCTGAGTGACCAGCAAGCGGTGGGGGAGGAGAAGGGAATAACTGCCTCACGCTCTTGTTTTCCAGAGGGACAGGCATGTGGGACATGCTAGATAGTTTAGCAAAATCCCTCGTGTCACTGAGCTGCAGTTTCCTGGGTGTCAGACAGATGACACAGTCACCTTTTTCTTGCTTCGGTCCTTCTACATATCATTCTTCTTGCTCTCTCCATGTGCTGCTTGGACAATTCTCTCCCAAGAGTTTCCTACACTGCATAGTACGAGGGAACTGTCCCTGTAGGACGGCTGTCAGTTCAGACAACGGCCACAACGTCAAGGGTCCTCAGAGCCACTCGTATTTGTTGTTGTTGTTTAGTCAAGTCATGTCTGATCCTTTGTGACCCCATGGACTGCAGCACACCAGACCTCTCTTTTCCGAGGGGCAAGTATCTTTTAATTTCATGGCTGCAGTTACCATCCATAGTGATTTTGGAGCCCAAGAAAATAAAATCTGTGTTTGTAGATGGCTGCAAATTAGGGGTCTCAACAATCATCCTTTGTTTTGCTGATTCACTAGAACGACTCAATGTCATGGACTGAATTTTCATTCTCAGCTGTCAAATTCATCTTTGGAAACTTTAACCCCGGAGTGATGGGTTTAGGAGGTTGGGCCTTTTGGATGTAATTAACTCATGAGGATGCGGACCAAATGAACAGGTCTATTGCCATTAAAGGAGACCCCGGAGAGTTCTCCGGTTCTTTTCCCACCCTATGAGGACACAAGTGTGGCTCTCTGCAACCCAGGAGAGGGCTCTCACCAGATTCCAACTTTGCTGGCACTCCATCTCAGACTTCTAATCTCCAGAACTGCTGGCACTCCATCTCAGACTTCTAATCTCCAGAACTGTTGGCACTCCATCTCAGACTTCTAATCTCCAGAACTGCTACAAGTAAATCTCTGTTGCTTAGGAGCCACTCAGTGTATGTAAATTGCCATACAGCCTGAACTGACACATATGAAATGTNCAGCCTGAACTGACACATGTGAAATGTGCTGTACATATAATTACAGTATTACTATAGCAAAAGGATAGAAATAATAACCAGCCAAAGGAAGATACATGGAGGGCAAAGTCTGTCAGAGCTGCAAGCTTGTAGCTCCCATCATCCTGAGGGATGCACCACCCTTCTGGGTGTCAACGTCTGGCAATACACATGAGTGTGGCCAGCCCGGCAGCTCACCTGAACCTCTGGTGTGCACAGCTCCTTTCTGGGCTGTGTGCCGTTGCTCATGTGGCGGGCCTCTATTTCGCAATCACTTTTGGAGGTTCAGTTCCTCTGGATGTCAGAACCGATAGGGCACATCCCAAGCTCCCATCATATATCACATTGTTAAGACTGTCTAGTGTCCAAAACCTCCAGGCAAACAAAAATGCTTCTAGGGAAAGCATTTCAGGGGCTTTGAGTTGACCTCCTGAAAGGTGAATGCTAAGGTTAATTCTTCACTACACACCCCACAGACATTACCTTTACCCAAGGCCATATCTCAGGAATGCTAACTAAAACACATACCATTCTAGCGACAGCAGAAACTGGAAAGTAGAATATCTATTTATTGGGTGCATTACCTTCTATATGGGTTCATTTTAGGTAGGAATAAGAGGATAATGGACAATGGATAGGAGAACAAATATATTTTGCTCCAGATACTGAATACATGTAAGGAATTGTGCATAGGTTCTTTAAGTTCTGTAGGTATTTTCTTCAGGTCATTCTTGCTCAGAAATTTTATGTGTGATACTGTATATTATTCCATCTTGGTCTAGACTAACATTTTCTATAAAGTTAGGCATCTTTGTTAATTCTTGACTTCCAATTTTGGTTGAAAATTGAGCCTTGATCACAATGTCTTAGAAACAGATGCTGGATCCCTGAAGCCCTTATGATATGGGATGTAACAAGAACAATTAGCTGTTCTGCACTGTAGCTAGCATTCTTTCTCATTGCACTGACCATGGTTAGGCTTTTTTGTGCATTATCTGTTCATTCTTTTAGTAAACTTTTTACAGGTACCTAATATATTTCTGAATTATTAGATACTGGTGTTACAATAATGATCAAACTGCAAATTATCTTTGATCTATAGAGATTAAATTTAAGTTCTTCTCATATATATATACCTATGGCAGTCTGATGCTGAAGCTGAAACTCCAGTACTTTGGCCACCTCATGCAAAGAGCTGACTCATTTGAAAAGACCCTGATGCTGGGAAAGATCGAAGGCAGAAGGAGAAGGGGACGACAGAGGATGAGATGGCTGGATGGCATCACCGAGTCGATGGACATGAGTTTGAGTGAACTCTAGGAGTTTGTGATGGACAGGGAGGCCTGGCGTGCTGTGATTCATGGGGTCGCAGAGGGTCTGACACGACTGAGCGACTGAACTTAACTGAACTGAACTGATGGCAGTATGAAAGAATTGATCAGTTAAAATATACATATATTTTAAAAATGTTATTAAAGTATAGTTGGTTTATAATGTCGTATTGGAAGGACTTCATTGGAATCAGTCCTTCATTAGAAGGAATGATGCTGAAGCCAAAACTTCAATACTTTGGCCACCTGACGTGAAGAACTGACTCATTGGAAAAGACCCTGATGCTGGGAAAGATTGAAGGCAGGAGGAGAAGGGGACGACAAGGGTGAGATGGTTGGATGGCATCACTGATTCAATGGACATGAGTTTGAGCAAGGTCCAGGAGTTGGTGAAGGCCAGGGAAGCCTGGCGTATTGCAGTCCATGGGGTTGCAAAGAGTAGGACATGACTGAGTGACTGAACTGAACTGAATGTTGTATTAGTTTCTAGTATACTGCAGAAGTGATTCAGTTATACATATATATTTTTCATATTCTTTTC